CTACTCCAGCTCCTGTTGCTGCTGTTCGTCCTCGTCCTACTCTCTCCTTATCCTTCTGTTTCCTCTGCTCATCCTCCTTCTCATCCGCCACCTCCTGCAGCTCACTCTTTTGCGGGCGCTTGACGCGACGGGTTTCTCTGGGGGATTTCAGATCTGCTATGACATCCGTCGGCGGACAGCAACAGAAAGCAGCGCACAGGGAAGGAATGGGGAACATTGGTGGCAGGGGTAGGATGTCCGATATGGCGCGAGCGCGCCTAGCTTGCCCCTGAAATTTTGCCACACGCGCCTGAGATCCAACATTGGCTATCATGGTTTTCTCATCGGATCGTCTTCGGTGTCTCGAAATGTTGCTGCCACTGCAGTGTTGGCCTAATTTTAGGATCGGCTCTTTCGCCCGTCGTTCTGAGCGGCGTTCTCGCCCCAGCGCGGGCCACTACTTTCTGGATCCGGGTCTTTCCTCATCGTTGTTGCTCCCCTCCTTTCCCCTCCTCCACACTCCCCTTCTTATCCTGCTCCTCCTGCTGCTGTTCGTCCTCGTCCTCCCTCCTCATCCTCGTCCTTTTTCTTGTGCTCATCGTCCTGCCCATCTGCCACCTCTTCCTCTTCGAGTAGGCACAGCTTCCCTTTGCCTTTCTCGCAGATCACGATCGGATCCTTTTTGGAACTCCAGGCCCTCTATGACGCGCGTCGGCGGATAGAGAAGAAATCAGCGCAATAGGAAGGGATGGGCGGGAGGGGTAGTTAGGATGTCCGGTATGGCGCGAGCGCGCCTAGCTGGCCCCTCCCCTCTCGTCTCCCCCCCCTCCTCCCACGCCCTTCCCCCCTGCTTTTCCCGTTTCCCCCCTCCTTCCCGCCTGCAACCACCCAACGCTTATGAACACTGCTTTCCTCGCTCCCCCGAAGAGGGCCAGGGAGCTGCCGGCTCCCCCCTGCGAGGTCCTTTTCTCACCCCAGGATTATCAAACCGCAGTATTTCTTGCGCTTGCCTGTCCAACCGGAACGCCTTCGGAGTCTCAGGATGGTGCTGCCGCGGCAGCGTTGGCCCCATCTTAGCATCGGCGCTGTGCTCCCGTCGTTCAGAACGGCGCTCTCGCCCGGCGCGGGCCGCTGCCATCCGGATCTGGGTCTTTCCTCGTCCCTTGTTGCCCCCCTCGTGTCTCTCTCCCCGCCGTCCCTCGGTCATCCTGCTCCTGACGCTGCTTCTACTCCAGCTCCTGCTGCTGCTGCTGCTGGTCGTCATCGTTCTCCTCCTTCCGTTTTGTCCATCTCCTCCTGCTTATACTCCCGCTCATGCGCCACCTCCTCCTCCTCCATTTGACCGCATACAGGGTTTCAAACATTGGTATTTCATATGTGCTTCAAGTCGGAATGTCTTCGGTGTCTCAAAATGTCATGGCGCCTAGCCCCTGTCAGCCGAAAAGGTATGTGACCGAAAAAAACGGTGATTGGACATGTGCCCGACGGTGCGACCGAAAACGTAGCCTGACCGAACGTGCAGCCGAAAGTTTAAAATAGCTTTGGCTTCAAACCACGAATTTCGGTCACACTCCATCGCGTTCGAAAAACAATCTGGCGTTGGTTTCGGTTTCGGCCACTGGGGCAGTTGTTCGGGCACAGTTTCGGTCACTACACCCCCCGATAGAGATGAGGGAGGCTGCGTCCAACAATGGCGCTGCCGCTGCAGCGCTGGCCTCATCTTGAGATCGGCGCTCTGCTCCCGTCGTTCAGAATGGCGCTCTCGCCCCAGCGCGGGCCACTATTTTCTCATCGTTGTCGCCACCTCCTTGCCCCTCTTCCGCCTTCCCCTGGTCATCCTGCTCCTCACTCTCCTTCTACTCCAGCTCCTACTGCTGCTGCTCGTCCTCGTTCCTCATCCTCCTTCTCCTGCTCATTCGCCACCCCCCCTCCAATTTTCGCAGCCCCCCCACTCCGATTGCGCATGTCATAATTCGATTCGGTTTGGTGTTCTAGATCTGCTATGACACCCGTCGACGGACAGCAACAAAATTCAGCGCACTGGAAAGGAATGGGGAATGCGTGGGAAGGGTCCGATGTCCGATATGTCCCGAGCGCACCTAACTTGCCCCTTCCCTCCCCGAATTGTTTCCACACGCGCATGATATCCAACATTTTCTGCCATGGATTTCCCATCGGATCGTCTTCAGTGTCTCAAAATGTTGTTGCCGCTGCAGTGTTGGCCTAATTTTAGGATAGTCGTTTAGCTCCCGTCGTTCTGAATTGCGCTCTCGCCCCAGCGCGGGCCACTACTTTCTGGATCTGGGTCTTTCCTCATCGTCGTTGCCCCCCCCTCCTCCGCCCTCCCCTAGTCGTCCTGTTCCTGCTGCTGTTCGTCCTCGTTCTCCCTCCTCATCCTCGTCCTTTCCCTTCTGCTCATCCTCCTGCCCATCCGCCACCGTCTCCTCTTCGAGTAGGCACAGGTCCCTTTTCCCGATGCGGCAGATCACGATGGGGTCCTTTTTGGAACTCCAGGTCCGTCTCCCGGAGACGCTGGTGAGGTGGTCGTGCCTCCTCCGCGCAACGTTTTTAAACAGGATGCCGCCGAATTGAGCATGTGTATGTGTTGTTCCAATCCGACCGTTTTCAGTCCTTTCAGCATAGCGGTCCCGCCACAGCGATGGCTCAATTTTCCCGTTCTTAGACTTTCCAAATCATGCGTCCGCTGCAGCGCTGACCTCATGTTATTGTTTCGGTTATTCCAAATGGCGCTCCTGCTGTAGCGTTGGCTTCGGTTCCGCGCTTCCAGTCTTTCCAAATCGCGCTCCTAATGCAGCGCTTCGGTCTCGTTTCCGCGGTTCCAGTCCTTCGAAATCGTGTTCCCGCTGCAGCGCTGATCTCATTTTGCGCCCCCCGCTTTCCAAACCGTCCATTTGCATCTTCCCTCATGTCATTGCTGGGTTTATTCTGACCTGGTTGTCGAGATGAGTCGCGTTCTCGACTCGACGACGTCGACTGTGGCCTTGCTCTGGTGTGCCATACTATGCCGTGCTATATATATATATATGTATTGCATCGCTCACTCTCTCGGGACCATTGCTCAGTTCTACATCCGAGCGAGCGTGCGAACCAAGAGGAGATCTACGCAATGATAAGCCATGGGATAGAAGGGTAGGACGTCAGATACGACGCTTGCGCACCTAACTTGCCGTTTCTCCTCTCTTTCACTTTTCCTTCCCCCCCAATTCTCGGCGCCAGACTGGATGGGTTCGGCGCTTCTCCCTTCCTCTTTCTTCTGATCCTCCTTCTCCTCCTCCTCCCCCCCTCTCTTCCTCTCCCTCCTCCCTGCTCCTCCTCCTCCGCCTCCTCCGCCTCCTCCTCCCTCCTCCTCCTTCTCCTCCTGCTCCTCCTCGTGTCCCTCCTGGCCGGATCTGGAAACCAACGTGCTTGGGATGTTTTTCCATGCCAGGGGGCGGATGGCGGAGCGGTGCAGGCGGCGTTGGCTCCGCGCGGGGCGCGCCGCGGGCTCTTGGAATCTCGGTCGAGGTGAGGCGTGCCTGCCTCCTCTTCCTCCGCCTCCTCCTCCTCCTCCTCCTCCTCCTCCGCCTCCTCGGCCTCCGCCTCCGCCTCCTCCCTCTCCTCATCCTCCTTCGTTTCTTCCCTCCTCCTCCTCCTCCTCCTCCTACTCCTCCATCTCCTCCTCCTCCCTCTCCTCCTCCTTCGTTTCTTCCCTCCTCCTCCTTCCTCCTTCCTCCTCCTCCTCCTTACTCCGCCTCCTCCTCCTCCGCCCCCTCCTAGAAGAAGGCCAGAGCTTTGGGAACACTCTCGTCAGGAAACAAACATAACAGTAATGCCATATAAACTGAACTGCTGGAGGTTGAAACTTCAGAGACACCGTTGGAAAGCCACAGCGACATCTTCCACCGAGATTTGCCCCCCCCCCCCCCCCCCCCCCCCTGCGGACGGTTCCCTTTGGACGATGTTTTTTCTGTTGTTTTTTTTGTGGGGAGTGGTGGGGTGTTTGTTTTCCCATGGCTGCCAATGGTTTCCCTACAGCCTCCAGCGCTTCAGTTCTTTTTGTTACTCTGAGGGTGTTCCCGATGTGACGGCATTGCTCTAAGGAGGAGGAGGAGGGGGAGGAAGAGGAAGAGGAGGAGGAGGAGGAGGAGGAGGCAGCAAACGCGAGCAGACATGCTGGACAACGACCGAGGCTCAAGCAGCCCGCGGCGCGCCCGCGCCGAGCCGTCGCCGCCTGCACCAGTCCGCACTCCGCCGCTGGCATGGGAAACAGAAAACGAATAATAAGAAGGACGAAAAGAAGACGGAACGACACTTTATTTTTTGGGGGGTCCACCGCCAACGTGAGGAATGAAATTGTATTTCGCCCACAACGCGGGACCGGATGTCCACCCGCAGAAGGATGCAGAGACGGAGGAGGAGGATGAGGAGGAGGAAGAGGGAGGAATAGGGAGGAGGAGGAGGAGGAGGAGGAGGAGGAGGAGGAGGAGGAGGAGGGGAAAGAAGAGCATTATGGGGTTGAGGAGTAGGAGGAGCAAGAGGGGGAGGAAGAGGAGGAGGAGGTGGGGGGGGGAAAAGGAGGAAGAAGAAGGGGAAGAGGAAAGGAAGTGGAGAAGAGAGAGAGAGAGAGAGACAGAAAGAGAGAGATAGGGAGAGAGCGGAGGATCGACACGGAGTTGGAAAGAGAGCGGTTCTTTTCGAAACTTTTTGAAGCGAGTACCCCATGTCCATCTAGTCTGGAGCTCCATGACCGCCCATCTTCCCCATTCGCCCCCCCTTCCCCCTTCCCGTCTCCTCCTTTCGACCCTTCCCGTGTCCCGCATTCCACATTCTCCTCCCCCTCTCCCGGCTTCCCCCCCCCCCCCTCCCATCCCCCGCTCCCCCTTTCGACCCTTCCTTTTTCACCCATCCACCTCCTCCACCCTCCCCCTCCTTCACCCATCCACCCCATCCACCCCCTCCACCCTCCCCGGTTTTCCCCCTCCTCCTCCTCCTCCTTGTCCTCCTCCTCCTGTAGTCGCCAGGCTGTACGAGCAGCGCCTGAACTGGGTGAGGGGCAACGCGTCCTCGGCGGCACGCCGCCCTGTCCGCCAAAGCGCGGGATTGTGTTGGGCTGTTTTGTGTTGTTTCTCTGTCTCCCTCTCTCTCTCATTTTTTTCTTGTTATCCTTCTTTCTTTCTTTTTTTTTTTCTCTCTCTCTCTCTCTCTCCCTCTCCCTGGATGGGCCCATCTCTACGTATGAGAGCATACGAAGGGTGGTTGCACCTCGAACGGATTCTTAGCAACGGGTATAGCCATCCTGGCAAAACAAAATCCGAATCGAAGAATTTATCTCTAAGGGAATCCGTTGAGAGGTGGATCCATCTTTAGTGGGGTCTTGTTAGGGATGGAGCCACCTGTGAAATAATTCGATTGGAAGTTGGCCCACCTCTAATATCGCTCTTGCAGTGGAGCCACATCTAGTCTAACCCCATCAGGGGTGGAGCCGCCTCTAATAAGACCCTGTGAGATGGATCCCGCCCGAATGGAATCCTAATTTGGATGGGCCCACCTCTAATAGAGCCCGGTCAGGGATTAACCCACCCGAGTAGTATTAGTTTAAATTTCGGTTCGACACACCTCGTCTTAGAAGTATGGCGACCTCTAACATAGTCCGATCAAGGATGGGGCCACCTGAGCGATGGAGGCACCTTTGGTTGACTCCTGTTTGGGATGGGGGAACCTCTAGTACTTTCCAATAAAGGATAGAGCCACCTCTAATATGATACCACTGGTGCTGTTGCACCTTCTAATACAACCATTTCAGGGATCGGGACCTCTCGCAGCGTCCTACTAAGGATGGGCCCATCTTCGATATAGTCGCATTAGCGATGCCGCCACTTCGGGGGATGTCTGGCCAGGGGTAGATCCACTTGTAATCTAAGCCTACTAAGTACGGCCTAACCTCGAACGGAGTCCCAGCAGGGTTGGAACCACCTGCAATCCGATCAGAGCAGGGGTGAAGACACTTATATTGTAATCCGATTGGGGAAGGTCCATACGATCAATGAAGGCACCACGTGTGGTATAATCTTATGAGAGATGGGCCAGCCTGTATAAGGTATCTTGTTAAGGATGGCGCCACGTGTACAGGATCCCTGAAGCCACCTGTGAGTAGCCACTGCAGTGCGGTGCTGAGCCCTGTTGGTCCCTGCTAAGCCCTGCTTCGCATCGCCTAGCCCTGCTTGGCACTGCGAAGCCCTCCGGCTGTCTGCTGAGCCCTGACAAATGCTGCCAGCCACCTGCCGGGCCCGGCTTAGCACCTCGATCACCTGCTAAGCCACGCGGCGTCTGCTAGCCCACGCGGAGCCACACCTAATATCATACTATCATGGGCGAACCCATTGCTAATGGAATCGCATCAGGGGTGGATCTTCATCTAACAGAATCCTGTGAAGGATGGTGTGGTAAATCCGATCAAGGAGGGATTGAGCTGTAATAGAACCGCATGAAAAGTGGACCCACACCTCTACTGGGATCCTGCTATGAACGGGGTCACGGATAATTGAATTGTATGCAGTGTGGGACCGCCGCTATTGGAATCCCATGAACGGTGGGCCCACCTCCAAAAGAATCCCATGAGGGATGGCAGCGCCTGGAGTCGAATCGCGTTCGATGTGGACCCATGTCTTGTGTTGAACTGAATGGGGAAAGGGGCCGCCTCTAACCGAATCATCCCGAAGCCCTGCTAAGCCCGTGCTAATCGTTGCTATGCCTTGCACCGCTGAGCCTTGCTAGCCATTGCGATGCCGTGCCAAGCCATGTTTGCCCCTGCTAAGCCCTGCTTGGCCTAGCCAAGCCCTTCTGGGCACTGCTAAGCGCGGCTACGCCTTGCCCGCCCTCCTGCTAAGCCTTGACAAGTTATGCTAGCTACCTGCCACGCCCAGCGAAGCCTTGATAAGCCTGACCAAGCCCTGGCAGGGCCTGCTAGCCCCTGCACTATAGAACGATTCTCGCCCACCGGCACCGGCACCGGCACCGGCACCGGCACCGACACCGGCACTGGCACCGGCACCGGCACCGGCACCGGCACCGGCACCGGCACCGGCACCGGCACCGGCGCCGGCACCGGCACCGGCACCGGCACCGGCACCGGCACCGGCACCGGCACCGGCGCCGGCACCGGCACCGGCACCGGCACCGGCACCGGCACCGGCACCGGCACCGGCACCGGCACCGGCGGCACCGGCACCGGCGCCGGCACCGGCACCGGCACCGGCACCGGCGCCTGCGCCGGCACCGGCACCGGCACTGGCACGGGCACCAGCGCCGTCGCCGTCGCCGGCGCCAGCACCGGCTTTGGCACCCGCACCCGCAACCGCACCGGCACCAGCATTGGCACCGGCACCGGCACCGGCACCGGCGCCGGCGCCAGCATTGGCACCGGATGAAAAACATCATTGACATTGAACATCATGACCTTTCCCAAACAGTGCTTGCACTTAGGGGGCCTTCTCTCTTTCCTGGTAGCTGGGTCTGAGGGGCGGTCTGGCGGCTCTTTCCTCGCCGTTGCCGCCCTGTCGCCGCCCGTCGTCTGGGCTTGAGGGGCGGTCTGGTTTTTCCGTCCTTGCCGTCGCCCCCCCTTGCTGCGTCGTCGCCGCCCGTCGTCTTGGCCTGAGGGTCGGTCTGGCGGTTCCTTGCTCGCCGTCACCGTCCCGTCGCCGCCTCCTCGTCGCTGCCCTGTGGGCCCCCCCAGCGGTTGCAATCCAATCGGTTGCAAGCCAATCAAGTGCAAACCCAGTGGAATCGATTGCAGTCCAATCAATGGTAAAATTACGCAAACGGAGTTCCCCACATAAAGATATTAACAGTTTCGTTGGACCCGTGGGGTACGACAACATCAACACGAAGGAGAATCTCATCGAACGAGTAAGTACGCACGAAAGGCCGGCGAAAGAAAGGAGGAGGGAGGACAGGTGCTCAGGAAACGAAGCCTTGTAAATAGTACGGGTTCTTGATACTCGGGCCGGGCGAAAGGGGGGGATTCGGAAAGGGGGGGTTACGAAATTTGCTGCATGCAGCTGGTTTCGGCCCCACCGAGGGGCCCATCCCTCGATACATGGCCGCCTCCGGCGCCGGGAGGCGCCGGGAAAATCAGCTACGTGAGCTGATTCTCAAACCCCCCCTTTGCTATCCCCCCCTTTCGCCCGACCCGAGATACCCTCTTCGCTCTGGCGGGGCCCCGCTGGAAGGGGGGAGGCCTACGAAACCTGGTAAAGAGTAATGCTGTCCGCGACCCTCCTCGTTCAAGCGAGTCCTCCTCCTCCTCCTCCTTCTCGTGGTCCTGCTCCTCCTCGTCCTCCTCATCCACGGCATCATCATCATCATCATCATCATTATCATCATCATCACCAGCATCATCGTCGTCATCATCAGCATCATCAGTAGCATCGTCGTCACCCCGTCGTCGTCATCATCAGCATCATCGTCATCATCATCAGTATCAACATCATCAACATCATCATCATCATCATCGTCAGCATCATCGGCATCATCATAACCATCATCATCATCCTCATCATCATTATCAACATCATCATCATCATCGCCAGCGTAATCGTCATCATCATCATCGTCGTCGCCACCATCGTCATCATCATCATCATCATCATCATCATCATCAGCACCAGCACCGTCATCATCATCACCATCACCGTCCTTGAATTCGTCATCGTCCGCATCATCGTGGACGTCATGATCGTCAGCATCATCGTTGTGATCATCATCAACAGCACCAGCAACGTCAGCATCAGCAGCAGCATCGTCATCATCACCAGCATCTGCATCATCATCCTCGTCGTCGTCGCCATCGTTGTCATCATCGTCATCGTCATCATCATCATCGTCATCATCATCCGCATCATCGTCATAATCACCGTTATCGCCATCGTCATCGTGCATCACCATTATCGCCATTTTCATCGTCATCGTGAACAGCAGTATAACCATCGTCATCACCATCATCATGATGAAGCCTTCCTCATCGCAGAACTCCCCCTCCTCCTCACCCTCCTCAGTGGGAGGGGTAGGACGTGAGATGGATAGGTAATGTTCTCCCCTCCTCCTCACCCACGTCAGTGGGAGGGGCACGACACCATTTAAATAGTATGGGTTTTCGATACCCTCCTCGCTCAGTCGGGGCCTCCCTGGATGGGTGGGAGGGGCACGAAACCATGTAAATAGTATGGGTTTCCGATACCCTCCTCGCTCAGGCGGGGCCTCCCTGGAGGGGTGGGAGGGGCACGGAACCATGTAAATAGCATGGGTTTCCGATACCCTCCTCGCTCAGGCTGGGCCTCCTTGGAGAGGTGGGAAGGGCACGAAACCATGTAAATAGTATGGGTTTCCGATACCCTCCTCGCTCAGGCGGGGCTTTCCTGGAGGGATGGGGGGGGGCATGAAACCATGTAAATAATATGGGTTTCCGAGACCCTACTGGCTCAGGCGGGGCCTCCCTGGAGGGGTGGGAGGAGCACGAAACCATGTAATCTTTATTAATTTCCGATACCCTCCTCGCTCAGGCGGGGCCTCCCTGGAGGTGTGGGAGGGGCACGAAACCATGTAAATAGTACGGGTTCCCGATACCCTCCTCGCTCAGGCGGGGCTTTCCTGGAGGGGAGGGAGGGGCACGAAACCATGTAAATAATATGGGTTTCCGATACCCTCCTGGCTCAGGCGGGGCCTCCCTGGAGGGGTGGGAGGAGCACGAAACCATGTAAATAGTATGGGTTTCCGATACCCTCCTCGCTCAGACGGGGCCTCCCTGGAGGGGTGGGATACCCTCCTCGCTCAGGCGGGACCTCCCTGGAGAGGTGGGAAGGGCACGAAACCATGTAAATAGTAGGAGTTTCCGATACCCTCCTCGCTCAGGCGGGGCCTCCCTGGAGGGGCGGGAGGGGCACTGGGAGGCGGGAGGCGGGAGGGAGAAGGAGAGGATGTTCTGGGAAAACAAGAACCCGCACCAGCACCGGCCACCAGCACCAGCACCGGCACCGGCACCGGCCCCGGCACTGGCACCAGCACCGGCTACCGTC